ACCCACAAAGGGGTCGTGCCCCACAGGTTGAGAACCGCTGCTATAGAGGGTGGCAAACCAGGGACCCCAGTTGTTCAATAAATGAGCACAAGGGTAGCCTGGCAAACTGATGCAGGAAGAAATTTGCACTGTCATTCTTTCCTCCTGCTGTTTGTAATGAAGCTACTTCTATCCTCTGTCCAAAGAGACAAAAGCCCACAAAAATGATAGATAGATAGATGATAGATAGATAGATAGATAGATGATAGATAGATAGATGATAGATAGATAGGTAGATAGATGATAGATAGATAGATGATAGATAGATAGATGATAGATAGATAGATGATAGATAGATGATAGATAGATAGATGATAGATAGATAGATGATAGATAGATAGATAGATAGATAGATAGATAGATAGATAGATAGATAGGTGATAGATAGATAGATAGATAATAGATAGATGATAGATAGATAAAACCTTTTATTTTGGACATATTCCTTGCCTCATACTCACTTTCAAAATCTGGGAGCATTTTCCTAAATGTACAATATTTGCATGAGAAAATACAATAGGCAAACAGTAAAATTTATCAATGTGCTACATATTTATATTCTTATGAAGATACTGAATAACAATACTAAAGTATAATCCCTATCATTGGTGAGCCTGGTATTATTCTTTTGAGCTTCTCAGCTAGGTTAGGTTTCCACAGTAAACCTCTATCTCTGCCCTTAAGGTGTGCTGTGTATTTTAGTTTATTGATTTGACTCCCTGTATCATCCAAGTTACTATGATTACATGCAACTGACACTGACCCTTACCAAATTTAATGAAGAGGCTTTATTGTTAGAGCATCAGGACCTTACTGTGTCCAGAAGACAGAAGAAACAAGCCTGGGAATGGGCAGAAACAAAGGTTGCTTTAGAAGTCTGGGAAGCATGAACCATAAGAAGGGTCTTACTGTAGAAACACCTTGGACAAGGCAACATACTGGAATTCATGCATCTGACTACTTATAGCCTCTTCTTAATCTAGTCAATATTAAGTTCCAAGAATAGAGGTTTCCATGACCTAACTTGGGTTGTGAGTCGATATCTTGGATAAGTCAGGGAATTTGATACATAAAACAATACTTGGGTTATGCCATGTCATAAAAAGATGTAACCCTCCAGAATAAAATCAGGACCTATTAGGAAGGTAGAAGAAATGATGAACAGTTAACGAGGAACAAATTAGGGCTCTTTGAGATCAAGAACTATGTTTTTAATATTTAAATCATATTGTTGGAAGTAATTCATATTGCCAAATTTTGGGAAGATTTCTGTAACCATAAATATGCCCATTCCTCTTGTTTCAGTACTGATCCTTAATTTTCATATTCCTTTTATCCTAAGAATATATTTTAAATAAATGATGAAAAGAAAAAAGAAGTTAACAGAACTTATTCAAATATGTACTATCTTCAAAGGATGCAGTGATGAATAAGGCATGATATCTTTTTCCTTCAGGAATTCCCAGCCTATGTGAAGAGTCAGACATTTAAACCAATGACTAGTGTGGTATGAGTTACCATGCAGGCTAGTACCAAGAATATGTTCTTTAGGATATTATGTATGGAACCTAAAATTCAAAGCCATGCAAATTTTTAACTCTAATATTCATTTTGCAGTCTCATTCTATGAAATATTATTTAGACCTGTGAAGAGTAGATATATCCTTAGATCTATCCTTAGATAGATGAGACACATTTGTTGTATGTGGAAAAACAATAAAAATGACATGGGCACTATAATTTGTGACTATATAAAATATTTATATATGCAGATATGGACAGAGACTGGAGAAATAAAATAGTTATTGCTGGGATGATGGGTGTGTTTTAGATTTCAATTTGCTTTAATGCTATTATACATTAAATAAAATTTACAAGTATGTGTTGGGGCTGTTTATTCAGTAACTCCATTGTTTAACAGAAACAAAATACACTAAAAATTCTCCTTGCCTATTAAAGCAATTTAATCCATTCTTTATGTTTTTGCTGTGAATGCCAAGGGTGAATCACTATTAGTGTTTATTTATTCCCTCTGTTCTTTTTAACTTATTTCCTCAAACTATCTGTAATTTGTAGGTTATGGGAGGACAACTGGTGGATGTTCAGATTTTATCTAGATTGAATGGCTGTTTTGAGTCTTGTTAGTAAGTTTTAACACCGCTATCCAACAGTGCCCTTAAGAGTCCCAAGTATTTTAAACTATTAACAATATGAAAGTCACCTCCTGCTACAAAACTAACATTTTTCTTGGTTTCTTTATTTCTGTAGAATTTTTCAATTTTGTAGGTTCTACTCTTTGTTCTCAACATATAATCACTGCCCCATCTGTTTTCAATTGCCAGGATCCACATTTCATTTCAGCTATTGTTCCCATCTACAGGGTCATTTTTTTGTTGCTCCTTTGTTTGTTTCCCCACCCTAATCATCTTGTGTTCCACTTTGGTCTAAACACCGCTGCTACATCACACTGACAGGGACTTTAGCCATCTCATACTCAGCTTTAAAATATCCAATGGGTTCCCATTTAGCTACTAAATTAAATATGAATTTGGAGCTCCATTTTGGAGTCCTCTCCCTACTTGGTAGCGTTTTTCTCATAATTACTCTACTGCTGCCTTCTAAGCCAATAGGCCAATAGCTGCTTCTTCCTTTTACATATATTTTATTACTATGGTTCCTTCACCTAGAATGCCCTCTCCTCATTCTTGCCTTAATCATTCAGAGGCCCATTTTAAAGATCACTCTATCCATCATACCTTTACTTATTATCCCAAATGGATTTGTCATCCATCCTTTCAAAATATACACAACTCTGCTTGTGCCCCCCTTTCTTTAATCTGCTTTGTGTTAGAACTATTTATGTGAATCACAATCAGAGTATATAAACTCTGTGAAGACAAAAACAACCCCGTTCTCATCTTTCTATTCACCAATGATGTAACACACAGAACCGGCTTATTTGAAGACATTTTGTTTCCCTGCTTAATTTTTTTTTTCTTATTCCTAGGGGAGATTAGAAGATAGAGGTCTTAAGCAAGGAAGAACAGGAGAGAAGGATAGAGTAAGCGCAGGGTGCCTTCTATTAATAGATCTCACACAACTGAGTTAAACTTCTTTAAGTATAAAAGGAGAAAAGCATTTTATTTGCTTTATTTGTTATGTCTTTTGCTTTTATTTTTTTAAAATTAAAATAATAATTTTAGAAAAATAAAAAAAAACAAAGATACTTAATAAAACCAGTAGAATACTAAATGTAAAAAATAATAAAGTTAGGAGCCTATTAGAGAAACAATAGAAAATAAAGCACTTTAGTTGACTAAAATGTAACTGCCTGTGAAAAACCAGGCCACTGCTGTTTAGAAAGCAGCACAGAGAAACCTGAGTGAGTCTGAGTACTCTGACCAGACCACATCCTAGGCCCTGTCTTTCTGGGTCCCCAGTGGTTAGAACCCTCTTTACCTCCTCCCATGTGACCCACTGAGATAAAAATTTCAGATCCAAGCAAGTTAGCATTCACTGAGTTTAGTTTTTGTCTATCCCATAATAGCACCCTCACAGGTTGATGGGCATAACAACACATTCAAACCAGCTCTGCTCAAGAAACACACATTTGAGTGGATAACCATCCTATAGGGATATTGACATACATTAGTTATGGCATACTTTTCCCTAGCCAGACCTGGAAAAACAGATTTTTTTTTTAAATTTTTATTGTTAGTTTCAGGTGTACAGAACAATGCAATAGTTATCCTTTTCACCCTCACAAAGTAACAACTCCCCTCTCTCCCTCTATTGCCCTCCCCCCCCCGATATCATGCTTATCTATTACAATTCCATTGACTCCATTCCCACTCTCTACTCCCTGTC